GTTTTCTAGTCGGTCTCTGGAAAACTGGTTTTCCAGAGACCGACTAGAAAACGCCTGCGGGGGAAAACGGCTATCATATTCGGCATTAGCATGGTCGATTACCTATTGTCCACTAGGCTTTAAGCCAAAAGCGATGGGGCAGTTGGTGGCCTTCCCTCGTTAGTTGCAGAGAATTTCTTTACTGAACCACTTTACGTAATTTTCTATCATTTGAAGAATCTTATAAAAGCAGCAAAAATATGTACAGTTGGGCATATCTCAAACAGCAAATCGATGGAAAATTTCTCTCAGAAAACGTTTAAAATTAGATTGTACATTGGGATTTGGATATCAGGCAGATCTATAAAACAAACTTGATATTTTGGATAAATTCATATCATGCCTTCGAAAATGACTGGTAAAAAAGTCGTTATTATAAATGGCGACTATTATCTCAATGTTTTAAATGTTATCAAGTTTCGACGCACGAATGAAGCCGCGATCAAATATTAGAGGCTGTTTTCAACTGTAAAGCATTTAAACCTCTATTAAAATTGTCAATACTTGCCTGAAACACGTTCAAATATTCGTAACTTTTGGTTTTTTTTGCACTAGTTCTTATAAAAAAATCTATATAAGTGTCTCGATATTGTTGTTAAACTAAAAACACAAATAAACCAAAACAAATCACAACTCGAAAGATGTTGTGGTTAGTTATCTATAAAGAAAACATGCCAGTATTTAAGTATCTGTAACTAAATAGAATATGTTAAAAGTGTTTCTACACTATAAGTAATAAAAGATGATAGTCCAAAATACCAAGTATGGAAGATGATTCATTATTGGTTGGATTTAGAAAACGTGTAGAACAGCCATCTAAAACATATGGTATAAAAAAAGCTAGGACAGAAAGGTGACGATTATTGTTGCTCATGGTCTATTTATTCTTTTCTTTTGATCAGTCTGCGTCCATTTCGACTGAACGTTTCATTACGTTATCCTCCACTTCTGCAAACGAATATCTTGTATGATTGAAACCGAATTGTTTTCTTGTATCTGAACTGGATATAGAAAATATAATGAGTCGATTAGATGCCGAATTAGTTTAAACAGTTCATTAAAGATAGCGCTACATCATATTAAACTCTCACGACATCTCTCGAAAAGTTTGAAGATATTGACTTGTTATGGTTCTATAACATGACATTCATTTGATACTGAATCAATTTGCTTTTTTATAATGATCAGCTATTGCTAAGTGCGTTACTCTCTCATGTGTTTTAAGTGTCCAAAAATGCTAGAAACTGAACAAGAGACTATAATAGTTGTCGCTCGGAGGAAGGTTTGATCATCGATTCCTCAACTAATTGCTTGTCTCAGAAAATAATAGAGAATGAGATTATGTCATATCGCCGACAGAAAAATACAGTTCATGTAGAGTCGCGGAAAAGTCCTTTTTCGTATTCAGCACACTCGATAACCCGGAGGACTGACAATGAGTCAAAAATAGAAAATCTTCTGGGTTATCGGGTGTGCTGAATACGAAAAAGCATTTTTTTCCGACTCTACACGAACTTTCTTTTTTTTTCATGTTATTATGTGACTTACAGTTTCAACTTTTACTTGAAGTATTTCGTTTATGTTAAAATTTCAAAATGTATATAGAAAGAAGAAAACATCTTTTCTTGATGTTGATAATAATACAAAATCAACAACAACAATAAAAGTAGCCCCAGCTTTGTAAATAGTAATAGAATGAAAAAACGCTAATAAGTCCCAACTAATAAATTACTTTCGTATAAACAAATGCATTTGTAAACTACCACTAATCTTTTTTAACGTTGTCAAAAAGATGTTTAGAAAGCCCATTCAAAGAACTTTTTAAGAAAACAGATCCCCGAATTAGTTTTTAAGAAGGTTTCTTAAATACATATCATGAAAGAACAGATTTTTTCTACATAAGTGCATGTCTTTCTATCCCGAACGATCTCCAGTTTGGGAGGAATAATCATTTCAATCAATGTTTGGTTTTTTCTGCTAGAAACACTTTAAAAAAAGGTGCTCTTCAGTTTTTCAAAGAAACTGAAAAATCAATGGGAATTTGGTTCTTCATTTGTCCCAAATACAGGACCGAAATTCCGTTCTTCGATTTTCAAAGAACGAAAAAAATCAGTTTTTCAAAAATTGAAGAACAAATTTTTAGTTCTCTATTTGGACAAATGAAGAACTAAATTCCCATTGATTTTTCAGTTTCTGTGTAAAACTGAAGAATACCTGTTGTTTAGAGTGAAATTAATACATAAATAGTGCTGTTTATGCTTACATCCGGACGTAGTTTTTTGAGTGAGTTACATACACCCAAAGAATAGTTCATGTATATAACACGAAAAAATTCGAAGATGATAAGGTATCTCTCACCACTCATAAATTTACTCCTTTTTCACGAGTTTGTTGCGGAACCAAAAGTGATTTGAATTTTTGTTTGTGCTAAATGGTTGTGCTGTAGTACATTTTTGCAGATACCGGACGCTATAGTGAGTGATCGATCCAATTTATAATTGGAAATCACATCTGTCATGAATATATAAGATAAATACAGACAAAATGCACTTAAAATATAGATAATCACTAATATTTCTTTGTTGGTCTTGAGAGGTGTATCTAAATGCTGATCAACCCACATCAACTTTCTAAAATACATCATTCTAAAATAAGTGAGAGAATGAGAACGATTGAAATTGTACTGCACTGATATACACGTCGATTCTGACTCTAAAATATTATCCTTTAGCAGATCTGTGCATGGATTGTTATATCTAAATGAAGGCATTCTTTCTTTTTGAAATCTGGATTAATTGAAACAATATGTTTTGAACCGAATGAAAAATTGAACACATCCATTCAAAAACAGGTGTGTTCTCCACCGTAGAAGTAAGGCCATCATTTCTCTTATATGCACTCTCTAATACGCTAGAAACATAACGGATCGAAAAGAGAATGTGGACAAAGTTTTTCATCAAAAGATATCTTCCGACAGAAACAGAGAAAGAAATAATTATCAACAAAGTGTTAGAATGACGTGCATTAGGATAAATTCTTGACTCCGATTGTTTCTGCATAAATAAATGCATCAATAGTTCATTGAAGCGAAACGCTCTATTCATATTATTGATCAAACCTTTTTTGATAATTTTTTGTGCAAAAATTGCCATTGAGAAAAAAAATAATTTTAATGAGTAGATGGGCAAATATAGTTTGTATCAAATAATTACAGATGGTAAAACTGCTTTTCTAAATCTGCGTTGGTGTTTTTCGTGTCTCGTCTCATGCTCAAAAATTACATCTCATTTTTTTTCACTAACAGTATTCATCATACTCATAAAAGCTTTTTACTCTACTCTTATTACCCCAACTCATTTTCAATTTCAGGTTACAAATGGGTTTAAGGTTTAGTTTGAAGAATCGTGTCGATTCCGATAATCAAGGACCAATAAATCAAAAACCAATGAATCATATATACAACGCTGAATTCGGGTATGCTCCAGTGGGACCATCAGGTTCTGTGCACAGCATTCCCAAACACACTTTAAGCGGAATTCCACCACGTAAACGGCAAAGATGAAAAAGTAAAAATAAAACTTTTCAATTCCATTGAATGAGTGAATTTTGAAAAACATCCAACATGTGGAATCTGATGTAAAAAATGTAAATTTTTTGTTATGTAATGAGGAGCCGTTCGATAATTGATTGATATATCAAATAACAAAAATAATGGCGATTATTCCGTTATCTTCTATCGATTGCCGCCAATTAGAATCAATATTTCTCTCTTTTTTCCATCTCTTCAGGTAAACACTACTATAGATCTCTCTCGTCGTTCAAATGCAACAACAGAGATTATCTAAGAATGAGATGGTCCGTACATGAAGAATGGTTTTATTCACACTTTGGTCTGGCATAGATTTTGAAGATAACAATGTTATAAATAGATCAAATTGCTGATTACAGAAGTATCGTGCCATATATTCAAACATTAGTTTTTGCAAATTTCAGTTTGAATAAAAACAAGGAAAAGTGAAGATAGACAACTTCCCTTCGATGATTACAGATTCACGAAATATTTTATTCGTTCATGTTTTTATCACTTGTCGGTGACTTCTTATTATTTGCATTTGTTCAAGTATTATCTGTTTCAATTTGCTAAAATTATCATACAATTAAATAATTCATTGAACTTGGTCTCGATTATCCAGATAGTTTACTACCAAAAAAAAAGAAGTAATTAATGTGGTATTTCTTTTTGTCAATGAAAACCAATGAACAGTGAGAACGAGTCGCAGATTTTCGAATAATAAGACTTCGAATATACACATTATGAATGTAGAAAGTAAATGTTTGAAGACTAACTTGTTTAAGTTAACAGTAAATTTAAATACTTTTATGATAAGTTAATGATTTCAAATTGTAGACGATAACTTGAATAAAATTGATTGCAAAAATATTTTGTCACACTTGCACTAAACACCCAAACCGTTAATGCAACTTGGTTAAGAGTTAACTCGTTCTGCAGCTATCGATTGCAATCGCACAATACACTTGTGTGCCAATGTTTGATGCAACAGATATCCATGTTTCTGTTAGGACCATATGTTACCTGTAACGTTTCCAGTAAGACTACTTTTAAAGATATAATGTGGTGGTACAGTGAATACGTCTGAGATAGTAGTTCCGTTGCAACCTTTTTCAATGGCAATTTCAAATGTAAATAACTTGCCAACTTCAATAACTTACCATGCACGATCGGGTATACTACCACTAACCGTCGGAGTTAAGAAACATGGAAGAGCACCAACAATTTCAGTTAAAAATTATATGGATGCAGAACTAAATGAAACATCAGTTGTTTCATTCCAGTAATCTTCAACCATTAGAGCGACTGCATAATTCTGACCAACTGTTTTACCAATACTATTAAAACTTAATATACAATTATCTCTATCTAATGTTCCACCTGAAACCATATGACATACGTCTCCGCATTCATCTTTTGGTGACTTTTTAGCCCAACGACATCTAAAATAAAAGTGTCACCGTAACTGAATATAAAACAAACAGAAACCACTGATTTACCTTAAATAATCATTAATTGCATCAAGCACAGATATATTTATTGCCGTCATAACATTAACTGGTACTTGAACGACTGAAAACATTTGAACAAATGACTCTTTATTTCCCTCTCTCTTAATAATACGTTAGTGAGATGACTGTTGCAACTAATAGGGTAATGATACCATCTGATCTAAATGTTAGGTCGATGTAACACGAAATAGTCCACGCAGCGCCGGTACTCGCACAACTAGAAATAGTGGTTGTTAATTTTGTTGGCATTGTGACTGCCGAAGCCAGTGTTGCTGTTGGCCAAGTCACACCACCCCAACACCTACTTCCTTTGCTACATTTTTTACGTCGTCGTTTACCGACTGAACCACAATTTGTCGATTGTGCAGCTATCCTTGCACTTAATGTAAACTGTAAACAAAATTTTGAACCAGCTGCTAATGTTTCAGCATCAGACACTTGACCAGACGTTGATGATAATGTTGTACTAAAATCCATATAATATTCTTGTATTGATAAAGGCGTGTAATTATCACATGGTGCAACTGATGTTCAAGTCAACAGAACCACTGTGCCCGATGCCAAAGGACCAGATGATAATGTATGGCTAATTGTCATTGCATTTGAACAATTGACTTTTGCCGTCTGCAAGTGATGTATCTCTCGAATCTTTTGGATTTGCCGCCATTTTTCCATTACACTTTCAATTCAAGTTGCATTCTTAGATAGCCCAAAGTGTCTTATATCGATCTGTTTATGCATAACCAAAAAAGGAAAATGTTCACCATCGTTAATATTGAATAGATTAGCATGTGTAATTTTAATTATTGATTCCACAGTACAATTAGTCAAATTTAAATACAATTTAAATATAATATATTCACCGTCCTTTCAGCTTTTACACATATCTATGAATATGGCTAATGATTAAGGATAAATTTTATTTTTATAAACATATTGATTACACAAAAAAAGACAATCAATAGAAAAAGTTTTACAAAAAATGATTATTAATTTTAATGTTAATCATTATTATATATGTTCATTGTCTAATTCATTCTAAATAGAAAACGATATAAACACAACAGTGACTCGTAGTAGACAGAACATATTAGGTCAAATGTGAGATGTCATGAGAAAACTTTTTTCCTCATAAATCATTACTGTTGAGGGAAGAATTTCTTATTTCCTCGGCAAATATTATCGTTAGAAGTGCATTCATGACTATGCACCCATCATGACTAATAAATAACGTCAAAAAAAACAGAAAAAAAGCATATTTTTTTGCGGATGAGAGCTGAGCTTCAAAAAATTACAATGTGGATCAGAATCAAGCTGAAACGGAAAAATTTTAGTTTAGACGCTCATAACTATATTTGAATAATACATAAATATAAGCTAAATCTGTTATATAATATCTCTTATTCTAACATGTTGGCCATAACCATAAAAAGATTCAGATTAGTAAAAAAGAACAAATATTCTATAACAATCAAACGTTGAACTGTATTTTGTATTAGGTATGCCTGTCTACTTAATTTAGTAGCCTATAGCATGTTTGAATATATACTACATAAAAATATGTGCCCCTCAGTCATATATTTCTAAAAACATATCATGCTTTGTCTAGACATCAGTCTTGCACAAAGTATCTCTACTTTGCCTAGACTCTGTTTATGCTTCAAAATTTTGTACAACTAATTCGTGTATAGTGTAGAAAATATACCCTCAAAATTTTATGTGAACGTATTGTTTCTAGAGTGAGTTATGAATATCTTATGACAATACTTCCAAATGTGAAAAGTGACCTGTCGAGTGTAAAATGCATGTAACTTCGCAAGAAATTCTGATCAAGAGATGACACTTCTAGTATAAATCGCTAATAAGTAGGGTCACATAATGATGAAAGTGGAATGATTAGCATGTTTTGTCTGGACAGGAGTCTAACTTTATGGTAAAAAAGTTGAAAAATTCATATCTCAAGAACAACAATACGAAACGAGTTGAAATCAATTCAGCTGATAAGGTAGACTATAGTCACAGTAAATAGTAAAGTTCTAGCTGGTGTTCTCAAGATCCAATGGGGGTACATAATTGGGCTAAAATTAGGTCTTATCTATCTGTGGTAAACATTCAAGCCGAGTTCATCAGCTCTTTAAGATGAGACAAAAGAGTCATACATAGAAAGACTGATTTCTAGACGAATCATGTTCTGCACTTGATTGTATCTAGAGGCATCTCAAACTCAATTTTAAAAGTTTTGGTTCAGGATGAGGAAGACATGTCTCTAATGAATTTCTCGCAATTCTCATCGATAATGGTATTATAACCCGCTTGTTCTACACTACAGTTACACAGTCTGAGCAAAACGTCAGAAATGAAATGAATAGAAATACAACGACGTCTATGCTCGAATTATATGCTCAGTCTGTCAACACAGACACCTGTCATTGTTCATTTGATCATTCAGAGTACCTAACCGTAAGTGGAGAATAAGCGGTCAGGGAGATATTGTATTTCGAAGCGCACTGGCGTTGATGAATTAAATCATGGCAGGACAGACGTTTAAAAATCAATTTTAATACATACATGCGACGGTTCAGGGAATTCGAATGTTTAAAATATTGCGTTGTTCTTCTTTGAAATGCCCAATGACATGAGTAGTGTTCAATAAGAAAACTAAATCACACACATAGACTTGTTATTACAATTAATAAAGACTGCCTGATGATTATAAACAACACTAAGTATACGACTATCTATCACACAAATGTATCTCATTCATATTGAGTAAGCTTTGTGAAATATGACGTATATGTTGTAGGCAAACTTGGAATCCAGGCAAATTCCGAATTTGCCGAGGCAATATTAGAATTCTAAGTTTGACTGAGTCAGGCAAAATTGAAATTAGAATGGGAAAAACAGAGATTACGGCTAACGAAGTCATGAAATTGATGATATATGCTAAAATCATGTTGTTAGTTTCTTCTGTTGGGTAATGAATCATTTTGCTGAACAGGATACTGATCCACTTCACCGCGTAAAGGCGGCATGATTGTCGAAGTAGTAGGGTTTTTTTTTATAAAAGAAAAGTCATATTATCCACAACAAATCTACAAAAAGTTTACTTATTCATAACAGCAGAAAGCAAATCATCATATTTACAATTAATTTGTATTGAAGAACATATTTTTTAATTAAGAACTTTTACACTATGTATACATTAAGACGCATGACACACTACTCTCACATATTCTGACAAGCTCCTCTCTTTGAATGACATTTTGTCGAACATGATACATTAGCTTTTTTAAATGGACAGTGCTTTGTGGCACATTTTAATTTACGATTACATGTGGTTCCGCTCACTGCCCCATGTACATTGAGTTTACATGCTTCGATAAATATCTATAAAGATATTTTATAAATATCTATCTAAATATCTTTCAATGCATCAACATCAAGTTGTTTTAATCCTTGTAGACAAGCTGATTTTTAAATCTACAAGATTTTCAACTGAGAATACATTCTGTAGTTTACCGTATTGATAAACTAATTTGAAAGCAAGATCATCATTTTTGCTGTTTATTTTCAAGGATTAAGCAGGGTAAAAGTTTTGTGTCTGTATATGTACGATCAACTGTATGGATTTAAACGCCTACACAATCATTGACATTAAACTTTTCTGTTAAATTATTTAAATAAACATGATGCAATTTAACCTTTTTATTTGCTGTATTTAAGTAATTATCGGTAGCAGTTTTACGCATAAGACCATGACATAATGATTTAAAAGAACATACAAAAATATTAGTGTTGGTTGCAAGCGGTAATAAATTACTAGAAGAAGCTTGCGTTGTAGAAGAATCAGGATCAAAAGAAGGCGTGGTTGGCTGAGAAGCTACAACATCTATACCTGACCATAAAAGAATACTAGGAGAGGTAATTTCATCTAAAGTACTTATTGCGAATTGTGTATGAGGTTCAGATACAGTTGAAGATGAAGAAGCAAAGTCGGTATTAAAACATTTTAAAAGCGAATCAACATCTTAAAGACAATCGAGTAAATTATTTCTATTTGAATTATGTTCATTATTAGAATTATTAGAATTAAAGATACTTTTTACTGATGAATCGAAAGAAATAAGATCGATTGTGAATGAGTTATTTATAACAGATGTGGAGGTAAAACATGCTGTATTAGAATTTGGTGATAACAGACCAACTATAGCATTAGAAACAACACCGTCCGTTAACTTTTCAATAAGTGGAATTACGTCGCTATCAACAAGATCAATCGTATCATCTTTTTGATCAACAAATGTACCATCCATATCATCCACTGGTGTTGGTAAATCATCCTCGTCATCAATGTTACTTTGATTAACAAGTTTCAAAATTCAGAATCCGAGCGAGGTGACTGACCAAACATGACGTCATATGGTGTTTTCTTTGTGATGTACAAAACTCTTGTGTTAATTCCATAGATCACACTGTAAAAAAGAAAGCGCTCTCTGGTGGCGCTGATCCTATTTGCAGCAGTCTTGTTTTGCCGTGCTTTTGAATTGTTTGACTGGAGAACACACTTTGAAAAGTGCTTTAAAGAAAACTACTTGCAAAGCGTGGATTTTCCAGAGGATTTTTGAAAAACCAGCTCCGTTCTCAGAAAACTAACATACAATGTTAGCAATTTTTTTGCATCGTAGATAGTCCGGACATTATTCTACAAAATTATGCAGGTCCCAGCTCTCTAGCTATCGTCGTTCTGACACGGCTCGCTTTTCCCGAGCACGTGTCTATCTCCGAGTAGACATCTCTGGGAACCTCAAAATGCCATGAAATATAGGTAATCGACTACGCTGAGTATAGCGACAACATTTGTTTTTATGCAGAAATGCAAATAACTTCGCTGGAGGCATTTTTGTGAAAAACCGGTTTTTCGCCTGTTACTAGCAAAAGTTAAAATCCTTATATCTCGGTCAGATCTCATGCTGACTCAAGGAAACTTTTAGGAAAGACTTAAACGGTGCCATATATTGTTTATCAAGCTGAAAAAGTGGTCCAGCAGAACACTGAGGCTTTGAGGTTTTCAGAAGGTTTCTGGAAAACCTTAAACCAATGCCCAGCTGAAATTGACTTTTTTCTTTTTCGATTATGATTTATGAGCTGTTCTGAGCGTTTGGGTTGCGGTGGATCAAAAACAAAAAATAATTCTCGTACTTTAACAGAAACATCCACAGTCGCTTTATTTTCAACGGATTTTATTCAATGTCTTACCTTTTTGTAATAATAATGCTTGCACAATATCCTCACAAACTTTCTTCTTTATTACACTTTTTTCTCGAAAAAAATTCAAAATATGTTCAGCTGGAAGTTCATAGCGGTTCTTCGTATACCCGGAGATTCACCCGAAAAAGGCCTATTAGCCGAACCAGATATCAGATTCGTTATCAACATCAAAAATTACCCACAATTGTCTGCGTTTTAACGAAAAGTGATTGGACACTTGAGAAGGTTCTCTGATTAGCGTGTCAGTCTTCTTTATCCAAATTCAAAAGTACGTTTAGAGATCATGCAGGCTTTCAATAATTTCATATATACCCACAAAATGTATGACTGATATTTGTTTTACTTCTCTATGTATATGTAAGAGATTCTACTTGGATCTAAAGAAACGTTTTCAAGAAGTCATACTTATTGGAATAGGCATGTGTGATTGAATTGTACTCGAGAAGCTCCACATTGAGTTATCACACTATCCAACCTTGTAGTGCATACTGTAGTTTACTTTTTGTTAATTTATACATATTGATAAATGCAATGATAAACAAAAAAGTTATTTTTCTAGTTATTATTCCTTTACGCGTATGACTATTTCTACTATTATAGCTCTTTATTTCAAAGTTACAGGAGATCTGACAGATAAACTAGTCGATGAAGACACAGTACTATCCTAAATTAAATTCATCTATCAAACAATTGCTTGACAGTGCAATAGAAGAAAAAAAAATTGAGAATGTATATGGAGAAAAATGCAAGGAAGCAACGAAAGGAACGTTTATCAGTTTATGAAGAGTATTGGGAGTCTACACTAACCGATGGAGTATTCCACTTGATTGTGCCTCATTAAGTAAATGCGTATGTAGCATTTTTAAGGGGAAAAAATACACCTCAAGCTTGATTTCGCTGTCTCAAAATGCAAAGACATGCATACGTTCTGCATTCTCGAGAGCACATACACACATATCCTCCAACTAAGAACATACATTGTTGAAAGTTCAAAAAGACAATTATCTGTACATTTCATCGCCTAAGACTATAAAAACTATTTTGCTTGATATATCAATGAATTATCGAGCAATTTCTACAACAAAAGTGACGAATATTATTGAAATGACTAATATTTTTATGCCCATTAATCTATAAGCTAACAAAATACATATATATATAAATTAACAGAACTAAAAACGGAAATTTTCTATACAAACAACATCAACATATATAAATACGAAAAAAAAAACGAACAGAAAAAGATCAACTAAAGAAAGTTATCTGCATTTGTTTTATTAGTTTGTGTATAAAACTTAAAACATATGTAAAACCGCACAAGAAGAGAATTTGTATAGCACCATACTCGTTATTCAGTACGAAGTACCTGAAGAGAGATTCTTAAACACAAAGTACAATCATTCTAGTCTAATGGACAAATAAGAAGAACAATAGATACAGAGGAAGAAAAAAGTTACAAAGTAAAAACAAATTAATTTAGTTTGTTTTTTGAATGATAAAATAAATAGTATGTACATATACATAGAGAAAGAGAGATAGATTGGTACAACACGAAGGAAGAACGAAATCATTGCTTTAATGAATCTAATGCATCACGTACAGTATAATACAAAATATTTTTTGCCTAAAATAAAAAAGAAACAATACAAAATTAATTACAAGTTAAATAATAAACTATAACACACTCTTTATACCTGGAGAATATCAGCATGATTTGTATGTTTTTTGGATAATGAGCGAAACTCATTTGTAGTAATTAAACAACGATCAATATTCTCTGGTGATACGAAATCTTCGGCAATTTTGATACATGAATGCAAGTTCTTTACCTAGAATAAATATAAATTTCAACTTATTAGAGCTGAATATTATATTCTTTGATAAAACTTCAATTGGTCTTATTTACATTCGAATTTTGAGGAAAATCGCTAAATATAGAACATACCTGATGTGGTGCACCAGATGGAATAAACACAGCATCACCCAAATATTGAACGATTGGATATGAATAGACACCATATTTCTCTAATTCTTCGAGATGTTTTTTCTCTAAATATGTTTGTTGATCATGTATTGGATCGGTACCATACGTTTTCTTTTTATTCTGGAAAAAAAGCAACAAATCAGACATAAGATTTTTGAAAATATTTCATTATAGGAAAGAAGATTAAGAATATTTGAAAAATTCTTTTTTTTTCATTTTATTAAAAATGAATTCTGCAAACAAAAGTTTTTTGGATGTTGGTCCATTAATAAATGGATCATAGAAACGTTTACAATGATTTGTTCCAAGTTACAATATGATCAGAAAATTTCAGTCACATATTTTTCTTAGCATAGCTATTTGCCATTTTTCCAGTATTGAAAGTATGAAAAGTAATTGATCAAATGAAAAATCAAAAACTTTAGAAAAATAATCAGATCTTATTCTGCGAAAGTGGCTAGTATTGTGGCTTCAAAATACTTTTAATACTGTGAAAAAGCGGCAAATAGTTATTCTAAGAAAAATGTGACTAAAATCTATGCTAAATTTTCTATCTTTCATTAAAACGAATTTTCTGATCATGGATAACTTAGAAAAAAAAAAATCGTTATAAAAGCCGGCAATTTTTTGTAACTCAACCGTCAATCACTATGGTCAAATTTCTCTCGCATTTATTATTGTTCAAATAATGGTAGTCTAATTAATTGGACCTACTCAATAGAAAATTTTATTATTTTTGTTTTATCGAGTTTTCAATAAAAAGTGTGTATTTGGTGGTAGAGTTTTAATCAATAACGTTTTGAGCTTGACTACGTATCCATTGTTTCTTAATCATGATCGGAAATGTGAGTCATCATGATACTTCACTACTGTCGAAGGCGCGGAAAAACTGTGTTTGCAACGCAGAATGTGTCGTTTTTCTTAACCCGTACCAAATAGATTTGCGCAGCAAGATTGTGAGAAAAGTTGTAAGACAAATACTAATACGATTAACTCACTCCAAGTATATATTGACGAATTGTTGGAACGTCGTCGGCTCGAAATAAATGCCATAATGCTCCGGCAAGTTCACCATTATACATTCGATCTAACTGTGTACGACAAACATCCGATGATTCAATAACAGCTCGCACATCTATAAACAAAGATATAAAAGGATGAATATTGAAATAAAAAAATTAATAATTATCTAACCTTTAATTTCGTCCTCTTTATTTTCACCATTTTCTCCTTCGCCTCCAATACCTAAAATCATATAAACTTCATCTTAGTTATGTCAAATATTATACTCTTTAATTTAACTTATTACCGACGTAAACCAATACATTAACAGCATCTGACGTATCAATATGAAGATTTGTGGTTCCCGCTTGTCTCGTTCCATTTACTTGACCTTAAAATAAACAAAAACATATTTGTATTTTAACTTCAAGCTTATACATAAAAAAGAATGGATGATTTTTTGGAAATTTTTGTTCACATATGAAACAAAAACACTTCAAAATAGAAAACGGCTTACTGTAGGCAATATAAAGTTTTGGTCCTAAATCTGGTCGCACCAAAACACTTGGAAGACGTTCAACAATATTTAATTGTCCACCATGTATTGCTTCTCCATTATACGAATATGAACGACGAGTATAATCCCCTAAAACAGAAAACAGAATATTATCTATAAAAATGTTGAATAGAAGATAAATAATTACCAAATGGAATATTTTTCATTAAATCATCTAGAAGTGATGGAAAAACAGTTGCAAAATCCTTTTTAGTAGGCCAATCTTTTAATTTTAATATACGACGTTTTCCACCATTTTCATCATTTATAAGTCGTACTAGAAAACAAAAACAAATAAGAATAAAAATATCAATGAAAAATGAACGAATATATTTACCATTTAATTTTTCAAATCCATCCCAAAATTTTGTTAATTTTTCTTCATTTGATTTAATCGGTTGTAATGTTTCACAATCATAAAGTGCTGGTGTTTCAGTATGAGATAACATATACTCTTTAAATGATTGCGGTTGCCATAGACTTTGTGTTAAACCTTTATGAACATTTTTCACTAGAACAGGTGCTCCAGCCATCCATACTTTTTTAAAAAACTAAACAAATTAAAAAAATATAGTGAATTTTTTTAAACTTATGTACACAATCAAACAGATAGCACACCTTTTTTGACTTTTCAGTTGTCCACTCATTGAAGACCGGTAAACGATTGTTACAATAAAACTCCACATTGGGATTATCATCACAATCACATTTTTCCCACACTTTTTGAACATTCTGTGCTTCATTTCTTCTTGTCGTATATAAATTACGAATAAATGTTGACGTTATATTATTGGCTGTTGATGGTAAGTCTGATATATCGAGAGTATCTTCATAATTTATCGATCTCGATCTTAAATATTCTATGCATTTCATTTTCAATGCTTCCAGTCCTAGAAGGAGAAACGATAATGAAGATCTTAAAATACGATACATGCTTTTAGTAGCATCAATACATACTATTCCACGGAATAAATTCTGATAAACAAAATGAACTGTGCGGATGTATACAGATTTTCTGTGGTTCTAAACACAAGAGAATAAATGAGCTTTCTCAAAATCATTACACTTGTAGTCTATAAATACAATTTTTCTGTTCACTTTAGAAATGGATGTTGTTACAAGCTTATATAATACAAAAAGACATTGACTTCTATCTAATGAAAGATCAATAACAATTGTTTGTATTTTTTCTAAAGTATTTGAGCTAATTGTTTACTATAACATGTACAACCATTTACTATCGCATTCAAAATCGAATAATTTTTCAACAGAAAGAGAAACCAGCGTAATTGCTAATTGATAGAAGATACTGGGGCACGTTTCTTTTTCGAGAAGATATTTGAAACAGCAGTAGCAGTTCTGCAAAAAAAATTTAAACAGTAATATAGTGGTGCTGTTCAACATTGGAGCGAGAGCTTAATTTTCCGTGATATTGGATTTCTCTGTAGCTCGAGAGCTCGTATTCGGTGACTTGGAGTAAACTTGAAATCGGATGAAACATACGTAATCGACCACGAATGTGATGAAAATTTTTAACAAGATTATGAAATTAAAAAATTGAAAAGTTTTTTTGATTCACAGGCTTTCTGGAAACAATGTCGGATGATCATAAGATAAAATATCTTTTTGTATATTTGTTCTTAAGATGAAATAGAATATTCTATATTTTAATCGAATATACATCGAGTACTGTGTATTGAATAACGAAAATTGAACGTTTAAAGCGCTTCTTACAGACATCCATCTCTCTTTTCATCTGTCAAATATGGATCTTATCAAACTTCAAATAAGTTTACATCTATAGTCATAAACATGCAAGAAAAATTGTGTCCTATCATAATGAACGTACCCAGCTTTATTATACAGGGTACAGTACTTCGCAAAAGTAGCGCGATACCTCTGTAATTCAAATACCATGATAGCTAGAGACTTCTAATTTTGTGATCATAGGTCTTACCGAATGCTGATTACCCCCCAAGTTTGAGCCTCTTTTACTGGATAATTCGTAAGATATAAGTGATTTCTTTCTTTTCTGTAAAATATCAATAGCTCCTGACGGTAAGACCTATGATCACACAAAATTAGAAGTCCCTAGCTATCATGGTTCTTGAATTACACGGGTGTCGCTCCTTTGCGAAGTACTGTATATGATCTGATATTTCAATTGCGTCAGTCAATATACACAGACATTCAGGAGCCGTATTCAGCAGAGATTTGTCCTGGAAAGAGCGGAGTACATGGCACGTTCCTGTTTTGTGGAAAATCAAAGAATTTCACCTTGTATACAAGTTTTTTTCTAAAAGAAAATTTTCTTTCCATACTCATGGGGTAGATAAGGTACGTTTAATCATGTGGTGGAGTACGGTAAGAATATTTAGTCATATAGATATAGTAGACTATCTTAGATTAGCTAAAGTGAGATAACGTCAGGAAATTCAAATGAATTTCCTCACGTTATCTAATACTCTTAGATTAGGTGAGTAGAATCAGGATATATCAAACATATATAAACTATACCTTATGATCGTACTCACACTGCCGCGCCATATGTATAGTAGACCATCTTAGGTCAAGTAAGGTCAAATAATGCGGAGAAATTCATTTGAATTTCCTGACCTTACCTCACCTTACCTAATCTAAGAGTGTTGGGTGAAGCGTAGTATACATGTATACCATTATCCTATCCAAAGGTAAATTCCAAGATTCCATTTCATACTTGTGAATTTTGAATTTCCATGAAATAGGAACGTGCCGTTCTATGAAAGTGCGCACAAATTTTGTCGACAAAAAAATGAGATAAATGAGCTAAAAAGTAAGGTCTAATAAATGTTCAAACTTTTTATTGGGGTTTTAAATAAATCACTTAACTTATGTAAATTAAACTATAATCATCTGTTGCATACAGCAAAGACAATATCCCAAGAAAACTCAATATTCTTTACTCCCAATTTCAGACACATTCCTCTCGTGCAGCTCCATGAAGATTTCAAGAAAAAATTCGTTGCCTATGACAGATGTCTTTCAGTATGGTGAAATTGAAACGAGAGAACATGCTTATTGCTTTATTGTACTTGTTTTTATCGACACACACACAAACGCTTACTTTTTCTTTTTTCAATATTATTCGTTACTGCATCAGAACATTCAATACATCGTACGTAACCACAATCCGTACACGTGTAATGATAATTGAATAGAGTTGTTGAACATTCATCACACGTTTCTCGATATCCGTCAATGCACCGTTTCCATATTCGCTCTTGAAACGAAGAGAAGGAAGATAAAAATCATATTAACAAATTTAGATTATAAATCGTTTTAACATACTATCATTGTTTTTCATTAGATGTTGTTCATGTAAGACTAATTTACATAACACTTTTCCAATTTGATTCAGAATATGTTCTGATTCGGTCAATGTCAATTTTTCTTCATTGCCTACAATAAAGTCATATCATTTAAGTACAACCTTCGGAAGATACCAATTAAAACAAAATTGTTCCAATTTCTGCTGACGAGAGAGAAAACCTCCTAAAAGAACCATTGTGACTACAACAAAAACAAGTATAGTTGTTTTAGTTGACAAGACAATTTTCAGATGAGTAAAACATTCTTTCTTCCATTCTCACTAATATTCTCAAGTTTCCTATTAAGACTGTTTTTGAAAGTTATTTACATTATTCTTACAAATTGAACACAACACAACTGCTCTTCGTGCTCTCTGGCTTTATACGTACATGAATTAGCTTTTACGATTGATTCAAGATCTTTATCTTTGGCATCTTCCGCTGTTGTAAAACCATTAATAGAATATTGTTCATTGTCACGAAGTAGTCTAGAAAAATAAAGTTATCTTTTTTGATTCCATAAGCTATAAGGAAACATTATATTATTTACGTTCGACAATATTGAAAGCGGCAGCCAGTAATTAATTGTTGTTGTTTAGATACTTTCTGTAACCGAATTTGCTGAACTTTTTGACAATCGATGCATCTTGTGATATTCGATGGATACGATGTGCAAAATTTTGATTGAGGAGCTATTTTAATATCGAAGAAAAATTCTTTATTAATATTTTATTTCATTTGATTTTCTATCGCTTGTCGTATTTTTTTGAGGCAGCATATGTGTTTTTCTTGTAGAGAGAAGATATGTTGTTAGAAAGAAATGTTATTCTTAATTAACATTTAATTTTCAATTAAAACGGTTAGGAAAACTACAGGCGATTTTTTATTCTCTTACCTGGCTCGTAACATCGTTTTTTATAGATATGTCCGTTGTCATTATCTAATACACGTTTTGAACTGTTTGTATTTTGTATAGATAATAAAGCCATATTTGTGTTACATACAGAAGTATGTGATTGCTCAAAATACTGACGTTTACGAGTGAATGTAGGCGATCGTCTTGCGCGTCTTGTAATTATATGACTAAAACATAAAGAGAATATCAAGTGCTTAGACTATGAATCGGCACGATTAAAGGAAAAATGAGGTAGATCATCCCAGTTTTTGCGAAATTAACGGTTCTTAATAAATGGTCTCAGCATTTTCTCAATAGTTTTTTCAAACTGTGTACTTTGATTTTTATTTGTCTTGGTACCTTACTTTTCAGATAATGAAAAGTCAAGATCTCCAAAAGGTTGTTTTTTTAAAGCACGAAAATGGTGAAAGTCCAATAAAAATCTTTCATAACTTAAACGGTGCTATAGATCTTCGAATAATCGAACGATAGTGCAAAATGATCTGCGAGACCGGTTCTATCCAATTGTCAAGTCCACCAGGCAACAAAATCGACAATTTTCTCAAAAAGTTATGATTTGTTTGAGTGCATGTTCCAAGGAGGTTACGCCGTTGGTGATCTTGGCCGGTCAATCATGTTTGCTATATTCAAGAAGTGCGTATTCTGCCGCACCCGTTAATAAACCACCAAGCTACACTAAGAGATGTTAGTCGATGCTTTTACCAGCGGCAGTATAAATCTTTAAAAAAACGGTGGTAGATATTTTTCCTAAAGACCTCATTTTTCCACAAAAAAAAGTGTTTTTTCTCAAAAATATCTCAGAATCAGCGAAGGCACAAATTATTCGCCTCCGGTAACATCTCTAACTACACTTATAAATGTGAATGTCTTATACAAGAAAAAAGCCGTAGAATATAGTTCACGAAATAAACTTCTATTTTTTGGTTTCACAGGGGAGAAAAGCGAATGAAGAACGTTTCTCAGGCAAAGTTTTTTCCAAGCTTGCACGCGACAGATATCAAATAACTGTCAATATTCATCATGCCCTATTCTCTGTTCCCTGTTCATAATATGCATGAGGCGATATTCTATTTCAGAAGTAAAATCTAATAAGCGAAGCAGACAAAAGTCTGCAGAATTTTTTTTGTTTTTTTCAATATTGAATTTCTAACGTCTTTAGTTCATAAGATGAAAATAGATACGAACTACTTCATAAGTAAGGATAAACGACAACCGGTAAAAAAATCTCTTACTGCTAACAATTCTTCCGCGTTAAAAAGAACAATTACCGTTCATTTTTCTAATAAAAATGTATCTACCGTTTTCCTACTCCTGTAAACGTTTTTATCGTTGCTTATTTTTCCAAAAAAATCCTGAAATATTTCGAACCCGTGCTAGTTGTATATTTGTGAGTCGTTCATATATTATATGATCAACTTTAGTTGTAGTAGAATCAGACACAAAGACAATAAATTATGTCTGTGTAGGCGCATAGGAAGAGAGGGTCAAAATTGTTTCATATATGAATGATATCTTTGATGTTTATTTTTCCCCATTTTCTTAGAACTAATTTAAGTACTTTAACTGGTTTTTCTTTAAAAGATGTAGTGTGTCACGACGTAAACTGCAATACTTTGGCCATATGAATAACTTTGTTATAGAAGACGCAATATCATTAAGTAGTAGATAAAAATTGATTATGTGAGCATCTACACTGCTCTAATTCTAGCTCAAATGACAGCAACATCATTCATCTATATCAGAAAATTTAGCTAGACTTAGTAATAATTATTATCATCCTCTCGAAAACGATGCATAATATAACATAAATGTGTATGATCAGAATTTGCGACACAACTCTATTGATATTTTAATTCATCAAGATTTTCTTATATACTTTTTCTATCTATCCGATTGTCTTTTTCATCTCTCACTGGTGTGTAGAAAATCTCATTTTCACATTCAAGCATTCAAAAACGTCCGCTGATTTGTTCACTAGTTCTAAAGCCTAGCTTATTTTCAATAATTACTGTTATATTTAGAGTGTTCCATCGATTACATACTATCTCAAACATTTTGTTTAACCATTACCAGAGATAAAACAAAGTATAATAGCGAATGAATCGAATTCGAAGTTATAAACCATATTTTTCAAATTTTTACTCAAACTATTCAATAGGTGAGAAATGTAGATTATTATCCAACAATGATAAAGAGAGCTACTTTGAAAAAATAAATACGAATAGTCTTACTTTATAACAGTTCTTGGCTGTGTTGTTGAAAATGTTTTTGGCTTTTCTGGTGATGGTAGTTGTGAAAGTGAAAGTCGATGACGATGATTAATATTTGGTGTTGGCCGAATATCATTCAACAACGATGCACTAAGCGACGTTGCACTTAATAATCGGTGAAGAATAGGAGACGTTACTTTCTAAAACAATTTATATACCCGATTAATCTCGATTCAGTAGAGCGTCTCATCGATATTGAACATACTTGGGATTGAGATTCTTTTCTATTCTTGCTTTTATATTGATTTTGTTGAGTATTATCTGAGTCTCTGATTAAACCTGAGTTTATTTTTTGAGAAATTTGATGTTGAGTTATTATCTGTTCATCTATCGAACATATTCTAGATAAATCATGATCTCTGTTTATTGAATCCATTGGTAATTGTCTATTGCTATTACTGCCATTACAATTTATTTTATTCACATAATTCCAGTTTGATATTGTTGCTTCTAACTGACCAATCATGTCTGAACAAGAGAAAAGAGAAAAACAAAATTTAAACCGAAAACGACAACAACAACAACAACAGTTACCTGACATTGGTACCGTTTTTTCGACATTCTTTATTATATCAGATGACTCATTTAATAAATCTTGAATATCAGATTTAATAGATGTTTTACAGCACAAATCTAATGGATATTTCGATGGACTTGTTGAAGGCGTTGACGCTAATGACGAGACATTAGGACTGCAATCAACAGAACTAATTGTCGGCGATGAAGGTAGCAGTAAATTTGTTGTTAATTTTTGTTGAGGAACACATAATGGAGAAGTAGATATAGAGAGAGACGAAGATGGAGCTAAACGAACATAATAGTCAATATTTGAGATATCATTACATATATCAATATCAATTACCTAGTAAGTCTTTTGCTGTTGATTCACGATTATATTGAAATGATTGTTCGTAAGGAAATGATGGTGACGTGGAAAATTGCGTTAAATATGGAGACGATTGAAAATTTGTTGAATGAATTTCACTTTGCTGCAATTTATATCGTGTCCAAAATGTTTGATCTTGTGGATTAGAGAAAAATTTCTGATATATAAGTTGATTGAAATTATAATAGTTAATCAAATTAGTATTATTGTTGTTTAATGTGCTGGATGCTGCCGATAACAGTGTATGATCATTATGTTTGAGAGGCGTAGATGTGTTCATATATTGATTCGGTAGATTTATATAATGATTATCCATCTACAATTATCAAAACAATATATATATTTTATATAATATTTCAGGTTTCAAATTCTACCTTTTTCATTGGATTGTTTAAACGATAATCTCTTCTAAAAATTTCATAAATAGTTGAATCCGAATCTCATCCGGTTTGCTTGTTACCAAATGGACTCGTGCACTTCAACAGCATAAGTCAATCTCTAGAAACAAATTACTTTTCTAATCAATGTAACTGAGACAAAGTACTTGATATTTGTAAATTTCGAAAAGTATTTACGCGGGAACCTCATCAAGTAATTCTCGATTTTTTCTCGAAATATACTTCATAACAAGTAGTTCTAAAGGCATCAAGTTATAAATCTTTCACTGAAATAAAAGCTGAAAGTTCAGATTTTCCGTTAAATTATGACTTGAAGGATTTATAACTCTACGGAAGTTGATGCCTTAGTTCCAAAAATTTATCCGCATGACTAACTCGATATATCATGCAATCTAACAAGATCAGAATGTATCCTATTAATATAGTGGGTCTGTAGAAAGCCAGTTTCTGTAAGCTTATTTAAGAAGGGCTTGCGGGGACAAACGAATACCAGATTCGTGATCAACATCAAGAACTACCTGTTATGAAGTATATTTCGAGGAAAAATCGAGAAGTCACTAGGTAAGGTTCTCCCTTTAGTCAAATATTTAGAATTAATTTTAGAATTTTAATTCTCAGCTTTCATTGCTGCTGTCATAGCACGGTCTCGTGTAGTACTTCGCTGATTTGTTGTTGCAGACATTGCCCGCAGAAACAGCTATAAAAAAAAGCTCAGAAAACAAAATCAGTCCAATAAAAAAAAACTGGTTTTTAGTATAAGATCTTTTAGTAAGATGTACACTAAAAGAATCATATTCCAAGATGTGTTTGAAAGACGTAGAGAACACAAAAACGTATTGAATTCTGTCATTATGTGCCAGCTGGAAGGAGAGAACTGCAGAAACCAGTTGAATTACAGTAAACGAAGGGTGACTTCTGGTATCGGGAAAAAAGTTTTATTTTGACTTTCAAATTTGTTGGTAACATATCATTGTTGCTAATTCGTCAACAAACTAAGCAAACAGATCGAATAAGACAGTGATTGAAGAAGAAAAGCCTAAAAAATATTTGAAGTAGCAAAATTGTCAATCACAGTCACAAAACTGATTAATTAAAATCTTTTTGGACTATATATAAACTACACACACAACAAGATAAAAGAAATAGCTGCTAGAGGTTCCGGTAAGGCTATCTATCAAGAGCAAGAACTAATGAAATCTCCTGTATGTACCTCTAGTCTTGTCAGATGAAACGTTAATGAAAAGTGTAAAACAACCCCTGTGTCACCTTTAATCAACAGAAGTGACCTCTTGGCATAGTCGAAAGAGAATTTATAATGGATCAAACGATAGTCTTGAAAGCGCCCTCTATCCTAGTCACATGGTAACTGTGATAGGCGACATATATATAAACCAACCGGAATTCAGGTTAAATTAAGCTGATTATCACCACCAAAAATCTAAAAATCCTACTTTGAAAAAACGCTTTTAAACTTAACGTTCTATGAACAGACGCGCTCGGGTCTGGGCTGTTCATTGGCAAGATCCGCAGTTCTCTCGCTAAGCTAATCTATACGGTGAAGCTGGAAGATTAGTTGTCATTCATTTATTTGATGTTAATCTTCAAGTGAAAAAATGACTAATTGGCCAACCAAAATAGAAAACTTTTGATTATTTTGAATTTTTTAGTTGCGAAAACAGTCTCGATTGTTCATTTTAATAACAAAAAAAAAGTTACGAAAGAATGTACATTACAACTAAGCTAATTATTGGCAGGTATACGTTTATTTTGAATATGTGAATAACTTTCTATTAGGTATTTATCGACACAACAAGCTTATATCACACATCTCTGATGCGCCAACACTATCTAAAAAAAACACGGATCAAGTTATATACCAGATAGAAAACAGAATGCATACATCTAACTGAGTATATAGACATTGGTTGAATATTTATTCAACGAAAAGAGAGAAAGGAAAGTAAAAAATATTACCAGTAGCGGCCATTTTTGGCAGCTGTTTTTGACAGATAATTTCTACCTATTGTATGAGTAGATTCAGTGCAAACTATGTACGATATCTAACTTTAGTATCTTTAAAAATTTCTCCTTTTTAGAAATAAATTAGATTAGGCAAATTAAGGTAAACAGTAATAAAATTATTTTCTCTTTGACGGAGATATCTTCCTAGAGATTTAAAAAAATGTAAAAAATTTATTCTATTCCATAAGAATAATGCTCTTCCATTTCACGTGATGATGTCATCTTAGCTTACCTTAACCTAATATATTATAATTATTACAAATTATTATAAAGAGATTCTTGACCCAGAAATTCTGTTTATGAAAGTGATAATCTTTCATCGTTCAGGAAAAACGAAACTGATGCAGAAAAACAATTGAAAATCAGGAGAAAATCTTCAAAATCAGCTCCTGAAATCAGAAGTATATTAAACACATATTAAAGAGATAGTGTTGGCTTTGCTTATATTACAA